CACACACACACACACACCGAATCAGGCCCCTTGTGCCTGGAGGTGGGGGGAATCAAGCCACTTAAGTTTTCACTCCTAGTTGGAGCAGAAGGATTTTTACTTGAGGTGAAGCTGTCAGAAGTGAGACAGCCTTCCCAGGGGGGACAAATGGCAATTCTGTATTTTCCTGAGACGTGTTAGGCCATTTCCATAGACACCCTAAAGTATAGGGCTTCCCCCACACACACTTTAAATGCTATTTATCCTACCCCACCCCTTCAACCAAGTTCCACTGGTGAATGCCCTTTATTGGAGCAAAGCAATTCTCCCCTCCTCCTTCCTGAAGCCTGTCGGAATGATGGGACACTGAAGGGACTGTCAACACCCATAAATCCAATGTGAATCAGTATGACTCATTTGACAGGCATTCAGTCCACCTGGGTGTTGACTGGTTGGGGAGGAAGGAACTATTTGTCTGGGATCTTATCCTTCCTGGAAATTTTCACCCTGTTTCCATATATGCATGCACACCATGGTTTTAGATCCCTATAACTACCACGACGAAATGATAACACACAATTTAAAATATGAGGAAGCTAAATCAAACGCTCTATGGAAGAAGCGTGTGAATTGCTACTTGCCCACAGAGAACACAACAGAGTCATTTTGTAAACAGAAAGAAATCTCTTCTTTTCCTTCAGACTGTAGATATGCCACAGGTGACTGGTGATGTTGCTGAAACTTGTAGTTACCTGGTTTCCCATATAGATTTGTACAGCTTGTAATGTTAAGCTGTACCATTAATCAAGTGCGATGATTCTCAGAGGTTCTTATCTGACTTAAGGAGCAATCCTAAACAGATCTATTGGAAGTAAATCCCATTGAATTCAATAGGACATAATGACAAATAAAAGCACATAGCTTTATGGCCTCAGAATGTTAAAAAAAAATCTGCACAGGAGATGAAGGGACATGTGCATTACTCTTTACTCACAACATTTTCATTGAGTGCTGTAAAGAAAATGACAAGACCACCTAATCCAGAGGTATCAAACTCATTTGTTACAAGGACTGGATCAGACATAAATGTCACTTTGTCAGGCCGGGTCATTTGTGCCATAAAACGTAATGCCAGGTACCAGAGATATAAACTGTACAAAGGACAGCAGTTGGTAAACTCTAAGTTGTTTTATCCTCACTGCAAGTCCCCATGGCTGGGAGGGGGGTACAAAGGAAACCCCATATGGGTGGACTGGACAGCCAACAGTGCAGCACTGGGCAAATGCTACCGCACTGCTTGGCTGCTGCAGACGAGGTTGTTCCCCCTTGCTGAAGCCACAATTGGAGTGGGCTCCACCCACTCCCCCCCAAACAGTCTCCTGCTCCCTCCCTTGTACTAGTTGCTTACAGGCCACATAAGAGCCCTGGACGGGTCAGTTCCAGCCCCCAGGCCTTATGTTTGACACTCCTGACCTAATCAAAGCAGCTCTTTGGTGAGTACATTTATTTAATGAGTGCTGAATTAGGGCTAGGAAGATCTGGTTTCAAACTACCATTCAACCATGGAGCTCATTTGATAAACTTGGTTCCGTTTCCTGCCATTCCTAGAGAGGACTGATGTTGTTTCTGGGTTTTCCCTGGAAGTGACACCAGTGGCCATTTTTTTTCTTCTCCCATTAATACTCTGAGCAGGGAAATGCCACAGGAGCTGGGGACTGCCCATTGGGCAGCCCTTAATGCCTTACCCCTTGAGGCTCACCTGGCACCTACACTGCTTTCTTCTAGGTATCAGCCCAAAGCATTCATCTCTTCAACCAGCCATTTTTTTGTTAACACTTTTATTCTGGAAATTGACATATTAAGCTGTCAATGGACTGTTTTTATTAACATTTTTTGTTAACACTTTTATTCTGGAAATTGACATATTAAGCTGTCAATGGACTGTTTTTATTAACATTTTTTGTTAACACTTTTATTCTGGAAATTGACATATTAAGCTGTCAATGGACTGTTTTTATTAACATTTTTTGTTAACACTTTTATTCTGG